GTCAGGGTACACCAGTATGGCCTTCGCTTTTTTAGTTGCGTGGACGTAATATTATGTGATATTTTTTATTTAAAAAATACCACGTTTATATTACCATATTCTTGCATTGCCATCCGAATTTAACTTATATTAAAACTTTCTAGTTTCCAGCTCATTAGGAAGTTAAAATCAATTACTACACGCGGGAAGGCAGATAGACAGTCAAACAACAAAGTGACAATGAAATAATAATAAAAAAGAAGATTTTTTGATACCTCGTATTCGCTCCTATTGGCTATAGAATAATTCTTTGTTACTAGTTATCATGTCTTCATGACTGTACCCTAGCTCTTTTTCTTCTTCATCACCAGCCCACAGCCAAATCCGGCGTCTCTCATTGTTGGGATAATTTGAAATTCTTTTCAGTTTGGTAGGCGGTTTGATAATTGTAGTTCGTATTGTACTTGTATTATACGAGTAACACACGTTTTTTATTTCGAAGTTATTTAATAACTCTATTACTATATAGTGGTAGTGAAATAATATCCACTACCCCATATCGTCCCATGGGTGTCGTAAGAGGCTGCCACGTTGGTCTAGTGGTTGTAGTAGTGCGACTGCTGATCATGAAGTCCTGGGTTCGAATCCCGGGTCGGGCCAAAAAATCAATTATGGAGTTTTTCCGTCAAGAAATTCTTGGTAGCTGCTCGGAGTCAGGAAGTTGGCGATTTCTCACCCTCGTCCCTCGGAAAGCACGTAAAACCGTTGGCCCTGCGCCTGATCTCTCTACGGTCGTGTTGGTTTACCGTCCCATCGGATTATGAGAGTAAGGGAATAGAGAGTGCACCTGTGCTTGCGCATACACTTGGGCACTATAATCCTGTCTTGCGTCGATGGCTAGCCTCCGTTGGGGCTGGCCGCCGTGACCGAAATTCGGTCTGGAGGACATTATTAAGAGGCGACAGAGGGAAACTGAAACAGAACATGGTAGCTGGATCTTTCGTATGACAACATAAAATAATAAACAGCTGCAATTGTCAAGCCGCCTGCTGGTACTGGAAAATATCCCCCCCTATGAGGCAATTTGTGGGGGTGCAAATGTTCAGCAGTGGAATTTATAGGTTGTAATGAATGAAAAACATCAAAAAAAATTCACTGTTTTTTATATTTATAGGATGTGAGCGATTACGTCAGTGACATTTTAAAGCTGATATCCACGATACCCTTGTTCGATCCAGCTAGAGACTACAGCAGAAGTGCCTACCGAAGAATCAAACATCGAAGTGTACCTAGAACGGTAGGAAATGTTTCAAATATTTCATTTTTAGTACCCGTATGAGTACTAAAATTCAATTTTAGTCGTTCTAAATACAAAAACGACAGACCGTTTTTGCGAGCGAGATATCGGAACTCGGAAGCTAGCTAGATTATACCGTATTATCATCACCATCATCAACACCTTGTGGTAGTCTACAGCGTCAAAGCTGGACAATAGCCCTCTCCCAAGACGCATCACAGCACGATCTTTAGTTTCACGCAGCCGGCTGCCTTGCGCAGATCCGCAAGATTGGAAGATCTTACTAACAGTACGTTTGTGACTTTCAATAAGTATTGTTATAATCTACATTAAATAAAATAGTTTCTGTTTCTGTTTCTGTTTCATTGCACTGAGAAATATACAACACGTAATGTTATGAAACAAATCGCATAAAATAAAGCACACAACATGTTTTGTTGATGGTAGCGTTCGCACTCACGAAAACTATGTAAATTTTTCAACAGATATTCAAACTTATCTTTCAACATGACAATATTTCTATAAATTTGTTTTCAAACGTTTTGTTTCTGTAGTTATAAAGATATAATGTATTTAAAATATCTAATAAAAAATACTGTCAAACATATTTCACTACAACATGCTATTTGACTATGCAAACGCTTTTTGTTACATTGACAGAAAACAGTGTATAAAACATGTTTTTTTGTGAAAATCGCGTCAGTGCAAACTCACGGTAAGCACGATCACCATTGTATGACATTTTCACAATCTAGACACTCACTTCAGTGACAGGTAGATAGATGTATAAAAAATTATTTGGTTATTTCATCAAACTGAATGTACGTAGGAGACAGCAGAACGTACGATATAGGGCGATCCAAAAGTACAGGTGTGATGCAGTCTTGTAAATGGGTTCTAACTCAGCGTAATAGTGTTTAGTGAGCAAATATTAATGTCCAGCTGCTCTTGAGATGGCGAGACAAAAATGAGCACCATAGAATAATCAGCATACCTACAATTAACTTAGGTTTGGGAAAAATATTATCTGGTTACACAAAATTAGTATGACACAAAGTTGTTTCACAAATACAATGTAAAATATGTTATAAAAATGGTGGAAAAATGGTAAAGATTTGCTTTGATAACACCAAGTCTCAAAGGGGTCTATGGTGGTGGTCATGAGACCAAGTATGTGGTACGGACAGACAACCGTTGTGACAACGACATCTGTGACCACCGTTGCCATAGTGTCAATTAGTTTGCAAACACGGACAGCATGTTTTTTAAAATAAAGTAACAAACATACTTGCAGTCCGCCTAATGGTAAGTGGTAACTGCAGTGGACATCTTCAAATAAAGAAGAGTATATTTGCGTTGTCATCTCTGATAGCTAAGATGAAATGCGTCACAGCCTTAAATTATATAGTACGTGACGGTAAGGCATCGCGCTTTTGACCCTTTATTATTTCATTGACCGATTAAGACAGGAGGTAATCTGTGGATTAAGAGCTGTGTTATCAAACACACAAGACTTTAATTTTTGAGTTATTATAAGAAAGTGACCATATTAACCGGATGACCATATTACCCTCACCCCTCACGTACTACAATATTTTGAATCTGTGAAGGTGGATTGGAGAAGACGGGGTTTTACGCCGCGTCGTGAGGAACAGTGGCATTGCGGGGCGTGTTACGCCTTTGCTGTAACCCACGCGCTACAAGCTCAGCTATATAGGAAACATAGGCAGTGGAGAGAACTAAGGTAGTGTATATTTTCTTTGACTAAGGTGAGGTAGTTAGCTCCGACGCCTCGGACTATGGATTTTTTTACAGAATAAGGGTCACATACTAGCACACAGTCCACCTGAGAGTAAGCGGATTATGGAGTGTAGAAGTAAGGAGTGTATTAAGACTGTGTATTAAAAAGTGTCCATAAAAACCTTTAAATAAGGGTGGCGCCACTATAGCTACGGGGTTAATTTTAAAGAACGCACCGAAAAATATTAGTGGGATAGACGACTTTTTCGAGGTTATATATACTAAATAAAATTATTTTAGATTTTAGAGCTACTGATCAGTTTAGCAGCACACTTATGTAAACCGGCGACAACTGCTAAGTTCATTTCATCCCAGTAGCTACTCCAGCGCTGTTGTGGAGAGTTTTTGAGCTGTTCTACTATGGGAGTTGGTACTCCTTACTTCTACACTCTATAAAGCGGATGATATGACTTATAGACATCTACATCCTCGATTATGTATCAAAATGAAGATGCATTGTTACTCCCGAGGACTAATATGAATGCCTCGTTTCCAGTAAAAAGAGTCTTGTGTTCTCTACTCTCAAACTACGAAATACAACAGCGTTGCCATTTTATACTGGTAATCTGTGAGAGCGTAGTCCTTCTCCGGTTGAGCCAACCTGTTCTTGCTATAACCATAATGTAGTTGCTGCATGGCTCTGTTTGTGTGAGTTTCCTAACGAAACAATTATTTGTACGGTCTACTAGTAAATGTTCCAGGTCTGGATCTTTATCTTAGTACTATTACGCGTAGGTATGTAAAATGCATCCATAATATAGGATAACTTCCTGGCTAGGAGCAAAGTGAGGAATTTAAAAAATCTAGAATGATATTACAGGCTGCAAAGGTATTTCGTCTCAGACGAAAGCAAGACTTAGCTATCAAAGCTTTCTCTTCACAAATAACATAAATAATCTATAAGTAACTAGTTTTTAGTGAAATAAAGCAAAATAAAATCTCTGCCTCCTGTGAGGTTTGAACTCACGACCCCTGGTTTACGAGACCAGTGCTCTACCACTGAGCTAAAGAGGCGACGTTAGGCTCTGTAAAATGAGTGGTCATTAGGTTAATACTACGTCCCATGATTACAAAATATATTTTTGTGGTTACTTATGATGAGAGTTAAACATGGAAAAGTACGCTAAATATATAAGGTGGAAAGAGAAAGTTTAAATAGAATAGTATAAAGGTATAAAGAATACGGTAAAACGAAGGTGGCAGCCTTCTTTATATATCAAGGTGATCAATGACCTAACAGTTCATCTGCATTGTTGCCCAGAATCGTAGGCATAGACTAGACAGAATAGGCAGATCCTGGGACACCTCTCTCTATATCTACGTATATATGTATATATATATATATATATATATATATATATATATATATTTATATAAATATATTCGTTGGATGACTCTTAATTGGTCTACGTTCAATATGTTGTCAATTTGGTAGATAAATTCCTAGCCATCGGCGCATGACAGGATTACAGTGCCCAAGTGTATGCGCAAGCACAGGTGCACTCTCTATTCCCTCACTCCCATATTCTGATGGGGCGGTAAACCGACACGACCGGAGAGAGATCGGCGCAGGGCCAACGGCTTTACGTGCTTTCCGAGGCACGGGGGTGAGACACCGCCAACTTCCTGCCTTCGGGCAGCTACTGAGAATTTCTTGATGTAAAAGCTCAATAACTGATAGACTGGTTATAATAGACTGTAACGGTAATAACACCATTGTGAACATTTCCTACAATGGAGTGAAGATTGCCATTATCTGTGTGTGCCATCGCCAATAAAGATTGTATATCATTTCCTCAGCAATGTTCTTGTGATCAGCAGTGATGATGAGTCCACTTGTGTAATTGATGTTGTATGTTTTTAAGGTTTTAATTTTTTTTACAGTCCACAACAAATTGTAGATTGCAGTTACAAGGACGGTAACATGGGCTGCGATGGAGGATCTCTGCAGGCCGCGTTCAGATATGCGGCACGAGCTGGCCTCGCCATGGAGGCGCAGTATCCATACCTTGGCAAGGTGATGCAACTTACATATAGGTACTAGTTATTGAAATGAAAAGATTTGTTGAACAAGAAATATTACGTAAAACAACAGAATCCTAAACAGTAATCTAAAAATTTTAAATTTTTGCCATTTTTGCCCATCTCTATCGGTTGATTCGTTTTAAAGTTATCGTATGACAAAATTTTATTTACATACATTCATACATACTTATACATACACACACACTCACACACACACACACACACACACACACACACACACACACACACACACACACACACACACACACACACGACACACGCACACGCACACGCACCCCGCACGCGCACGCGCACGCGCACGCGCACGCACACGCATGCACACGCACGCAACACGCACTGGTTGTACAATCTAGTTTTTAGAGATTGAGGTATACCTAACGAGAAGATATGTCGTAATTTCCCGAACGCTGCCCAGCCGAGTTGAATCCCTCGATTGAACTCTCGGTCGAAGTTAGACTTACCTAGTCGGACTATTTGTCCCAGGTAAACATACTCGTCAACAACTTCGAGCATAGTGCTCCCAACAACTACCGGCATAGGTGTGACTTGGACATTAAACATAATCTTTATTTTGTCCATGTTCATCTTAAGACCTATCCGTTGGGAGGCACTATTGAGGTCATTGAGCATAGTGCTTAAGTCCTCCAGCGATTCTGCTATAAGGACTATATCGTCGGCAAATCGAAGGTGAGTGATGTACTCGCCATTGATGTTAATACAGTATCCTTTCCAGTCCAGTAGCTTGAAAACGTCTTCCGATGCAGCGGTGAAGAGTTTCGGGGATATAACGTCACCCTGTCTTACACTTCTCTGTAGTTGGATAGGTTTCGAGCTCTGGTTCTGTACTCGGATAGCCATCGTAACCCTACTGTATAAACACCTCAGCACTTCGATATACCGACAGTCAACTTGGCACCGCTGAGGGAACTGTAGCACCGCCCAAATTTTGACGGAATTAAAGGCTTTCTCATAGTCCACATACGCCAGGCAAAGTGGCAGATTGTACTCTTCAGTCTTCGTTACAATCTGACCCAGGGTATGTATGTGGTCTATGGTACTGAAGCCTTTTCGGAAACCGGCTTGTTCGGGAGGCTGGAAGTCGTCGAGTCTGCGTGCGAGACGATTCGTAATGACTCTCGAAAACAGCACGTAGACGCGGCTCAGAAGGGAAATCGGTCTGTAGTTCTTCAAGAGAGCGTTGTCGCCTTTCTTAAAGAACAAGACCATCGCACTTCTGCTCCACGCCTCTGGAGTAGTGCCACCATGGAGGACGGAATTGAAGAGCTTCTGAAGGACTTCAAGTACCGGTGTTCCACCCGCTTTCAGAAGCTCTGCTGTAATTCCATCCTCTTAGGCCCCAGGGGGCCCTACCGTTTTTAAGGTGCTGGAGAGCCATTCTAATCTCAGACTAACGTCCGGGATATCATCGGAACAGTGTCGGATAAGACTTGCTTGTCTTGCAGAACTTAGCTCCGACCGCATGGACAGTTTCCACGAGCTTGTCATTCATATCGTCCACTGCATTGCAATCTTGTAGGCACTGAAAGCGGTTACGTAACTCGAGCTGAAAGTTTTTGGGATTCTGGATTAGAGCACGAGGGGGACGGAGCGTTGACTTCATTAGACGAGACCTCTCCAACTTAACGTTTAGGTTCATTGTGCCTCTAACCATCTGGTGATCGCTGCCAGTTTTCACCCTTGCGATCACTGAACAGTTGGCGTCTGGTCGTCATAATGAAGTCAATCTCATTTTTTGTCGAACCGTCGGGGCTCGACCAGGTCCACTTTCTGTGGGGTCGCTTCTGGAAGAAAGAGTTCATCATAAAGAGTCCCTCTTTCTCCATAACTTCAGCTCACCGTTTTCTCTTGTGCCTAGTTTTGCGTTGAAGTCTCCCATCAACACCGTGTACGAATGAAATGAAAAAATACCGTGGGTTTTGGACGAATGCATGGCTTTGGAAATATCCTCATACATTTCCTCCACCTCCTCATCGGGATGTGCCGAGGTTGGTGCGTAAACCTGTATGACCTTCAGCGAATACCGTTTGGTGATTCTGAGTATCAGGTACGCGACCCTCGTCGACACACTCCCAATCTTTACAACGTTGTTGACGAGAGACTTGTGGACGATAAATCCGACACCTCCTTGGGACAGATGGTCGCCCTCCCGGTGATAGAACAAGTTGCCGGATTCGAGAATCACCGTGTCCTCCCCCTCTTTTCGGACCTCGGATAATCCTATAATAATCCAGTGCAACTTGTCTATCTCTTCTTCCAGCTCCAGGATCTTCTCGTCAATCCTCAGAGTGCGTTATACGTTGCCAGGTCGAGTCGTCGTAGGTGGCAACCGAACCTCCACCGGAGATTCTTAGCACCCCCTGCCCCGCCGTTACCATGGTCGCCACCGTAGCCAGGAATAGCGGGGCCGCCGGGGACTGGGGGCCGTCTATTTGTGTAATTGTTCATGGGGGGTATATTGCCATAGTTGCCACGCTTGGCGAGCGGGTTGGCAACCGCAGTTTTTTTTGTCGTACAGTTGCTGTTATCAGGAAGATGCTGCTGCCCATCTCCTGCCTGTCTCCCTCTGTCGCCTTTTACGACACCCACGGGAAGATATGGGGTAGTGGATATTCTTAACCGCCACTACACGACATGAACATGCATTTCCGAGAAATTAATAAACATTTCGAAGACACGTGAATTCCCCAAAACGCATTGGATCGGCGCGGTGAATTCAAATTCTTACTAACCCTATAACCTCATGAGAAAGAGGGAGGTCTGTGCCCAACTTTACCAGAGAAGTTTCAGTGTTTTAAAGTACTTCACGACATCTCGATTTCTGTCTGTCTCTTTCTTTCTGGAAATGCAGATTTCTCCGTCCCAAACGTCCCTTTCTGTTTTTTTTTGTTGTTCGTTTTACAGCAATAAATTACGCCTAAACAACCACCCACGACTGATAAAGTTGTTTTCAGGCAATATGAACATTTGTCTGGAAATGAACCCGCAATCTGCAACGTCACAGTCAAGCGCTCATTAGTAACTGCGCCACCGAACTCGTCGTTATAATAGAAAAGTCTAAGCTTTATTCATCGGAAAAACATTAAAAAACATAAAAAAGGAACTTTAAAAATATCTATACAAAAAATAAATGTAACCTAATATTTTATGGTCCGTGTCATGCAAAATGAAATTGATCACAATTCAGCTAATGTTGCCGTTAATTTAACCACAACGTTGATCGACAGATGAAATTTAAATGAAAATAGCTTTTCTATAGAATAAAGTTGATTTTATGTTCATGAGAGTGAGGGAAAAGAGACTGCACCTGTACTTGCTCACACACTCAAGCACTATGTTCCTGTCCTACGTAGATAGCTCAGTCTGGAGGACACTATTATTACTGCCAGCAATGACGTGTGACGTCATGACCCTATTGGCAGCCTTGGCGCTTCACTAACATTGTACCTAGTCTCTTAGAGCACTTCTTTCGTGTTATTCATCTTGAAAAACCACAACCGAATCTGTTTTTTGTATCTATATGTTCTCTCTTTCTTGTATTAATCAACATAATCTTTGATTATCATTCTAGAAAGGCGTATGCCATTACAGTCATAGTTTGGCTCGTGTAAGACCCCGACGCTGGGCGACCCTGCCCTCTGGTGACGAGGCGGCTTTGGAGCGTGCTCTGGCCACCATCGGACCACTCGCCGTCGCGGTTAATGCCGCCCCTATAACTTTCCAGCTCTATAGGTTCATCATTGTTTTCTTCTTTAGCCTATTTAAGTTACCAGCTCCACGTAAAAAATTGTCTCTTCTCAACGCTTAACGCTGTTGTAACCAAGCAGCAGCAGGTGGGGGTCGGCTCGACCGGGGAAGGACCATGCTCTCACAGAATACCAGCGTGAAATAGTAGCTCAATGCTGCTGTGTTTCGTATGGTGAGTGTAGAGACCGGAGACCCTTTTTACTGGAAACGAGGCATTCCACCTTATTCCTCATGGGTGACAACGCATCTGCATTTTGATTCGTAATCGAGTCTATGGGTCGCAGCAATCACTTACCATCAGGTGGACTGTGTGCTCGTTTGTCACCCTATCCTATAAAAAAAGTGCTTTTAAAGAATGTTTCTATTCAACACTTAACGCTGTGGTAACGAAGCAGCAGCACCAGCAGGTTCTCTTTTGTGCCTAGAAATCCGTTAAATTAATAACCACTCTCTTAACTATTCCTGCCGTCAAATAGTAGTGCTTACAATGCAACCGGTCTGACAAGTTCTTCATGTGAAGTTGGCAGCTGTCAATCGACATCAGTAGCCACTTACCATCAGGTGGACTGTAAAATCGTTTGCCATTTAAGTTTTAAGATTTTATGCGTGGTAGAGCGATGCTGCAGTTGTAATAGTAGTATAGTGGTAGCACGAATGGGTCCGCTCGACCGGGCAAGGACCACGCACACAGAATACCAGCGTAAAATAGTAGCTTAATGCTGCTGTGTTTCGTATGGTGAGTGTAGAGAACCGGAGACCGTTTTAACTGGAAACGAGGCATTCCATCTTAGTCCTCACGGGTGACAACGCATCTGCATTTTGATTCGTAATCGAGGATAGATGTAGATGTCTATGGGCTACAGCAACCACTTACCATCAGTGAGCTTGTTTGTCACCCTATCTTATAAAAAAAAGTTAAAAAAAATGCTTGCTTAGCGAGGTTGCTTGGTTGACAATCTACATTAGAAATGATTTAAAAATAAAATTGTGTGTACACGATCCGTTTTACAGGCGCTCTATCCCTTTACACCGCTATACAACACTTTTATATGGCAGCAGACATATACAACGGTGTCTCCGTTGTCCTACTACCTGCCCAGACGAAAAAAGAAAAAGAAATAGAGTTCTACCACATCGTATTTTTTTAAATATTGTAGTCAAGTAGTGACTTATGATAAGTAAAAATTAGAATTTGATTAGAATTTATATATTATAGTAGAGCTAAAGTAGCACAGAAAATAAGCATTCGATTATATGATAAATTAACATACATACACATACACATAAACACTCACGCCTGTCACCCAGGGGGGTTGGCAGAGACAACAGACTCCCATTTAGTACGATCCCGACACCTCTTTCGCCTCCTCAACATTCATATACCTACGCATACATGCTCGTCAGTTAAGGGTACTCCTAACTTGGCTCATTTTCAATATATCGCCAATTTGGTTGACAAACTTTCGCCTAGGACGTCCCTTTCCGACTCTTCCATCCACTTCTGCAACATAAATTTGCATTGTCACTCTTTCCTCATTTATTCTTTCTACATGACCAAACCACCGAATCATTCCTTTCTTAATCCTGGTCACAGCATCATCTTGCAAACCGCACTCTTTTAGAGAGAGTAAAAAGAGAAGAGTTATTAAAAATGTCGTAGAAATAAATAAATTGAATTTTTCTGAAGTCCGCTAAAAGATGTTGAGGCAACGCATTGGACTCTCCTGCTTCAAAACCTTAGAAAGGTATGCAGGGTGTCGCTTTTTTACTTTAAGAAAATTTTTGAATGATTTTAGAAATGGCATCTACGATGACCTATTCTGCGTACCTTGGAAGATGAATCACGCGATGCTCCTCGTTGGCTATACACCACAGTACTGGATACTTCTGAATTGGTGGGGCCGGCATTGGGGGGAAGATGGATATATGAGGTAACCGTGATTCTTATAATATGATTATTTTATGGAAAAAAATCAACAATTGTAGCAATTGTTGATTTTCTTTTACCTTACAAACTTTTTTAAACTACGTATTATTAATCTATACGATATTTAGCTTGATAGAATCGTGGGTTCTGATGAAATAAAGTCTTTTTTATATAGAATAAGATTGACAAACGAGCACATAGTTCATCTGATGGTAACTGGATGCGGCGGCTCATAGACTTTTACATTTATCAATAATATAATCAAAACGCAGATGCATTGTCACCCCTGAGGACTAAGATGGAATGCCTCGTTTCCAGTAAAAAAGGATGTGCGGATCTCTACCCTCACCATACGAAACACAGCAGCATTACGCTGCTATTTTACGCTGGTGTTCTGTGAGAGCGTAGTCCTTCCCCGGTCGAGCCGACCCATTCATGCTACAACCATAAAATAGCTGCAGCGTGCCAGTAAAATGGCAGCTTAATACTGCTGTGTTGCGTATGGTGTGTGTAGAGTTCCGGAGCCCCTTTTTATTGGAAACGAGGCATTCCATCTTAGTCCTAGTGGGTGACAGCGCATCTGCGTTTTGATTCTTAAACGAGAATAAAATAATATATAAAATAATATAAAGTCTATGGGTCACAGCATCCACTTACCATCAAGTAGACTGTGTGTTCGTATGTCACCCGTAATCTATATAAAAAAGACAATCTCACATGACTAGCATTTTTAACGCTGTCCCATTTATATCCAAGGTTATGAGATCTTTCCGGCCTTACGACACCCGTGGGACAAAATGGGGTAATGGGCTCTCTTACAGCAAAACGACAGGGAAATTTGTAGAATGGTCTGTAAAGTCTTTAGTACAGTTCTGAGCTCGAAAGCACAAACAATTAATCATTGTAATTATTCTTTGTGCCACCTGCACTCAAGTGCTGCGAAATTGTACTTTAAACCGATAACTAATGTAAAGTTATTTTTTACTTACAGAATTCGTCGAGGGTTGAACACGTGCGGCGTTGCCAATATGGCGGTATACGTCGAGTTGTAAATAAAATCTTGTTAGCAAAATGATAATTTTATTTCTGAATGTAACATCCGTTACTGTTAGCTTATTAAAGTCCACTGCTAAACATTAGCCTCCCACATAGGTTGCCTCAAATAGGGGATATTTGCCATAGTTGCCACGCTTGGCTAGTGGGTTGGCAACCGCAGTTTTTTTATGTCAAGTCGGTATTGGGAAGACCCTACCCATTTCCCGATTTGTTTCCCTCTGTCGCCTCTTACGACACTCACGGGATGATATTGGGTAGTGGTTATCCTTAAACCGGGAGCCGTGGTAGCTCAGATTGTTAAATTAAATATAACGGAACGCAAGTAACCCGGGTTCGATCCCCGCCGGCACCAATGAAATTGTTAATTGCAATTTTAAGTGCTGATTTACCACGAGTTCGGCGGTGAAGGAAAACATCGTGAGGAAACTTGCATGTCTGAGGAATAAGAAAAAAAATATTTCGAAGACATGTGAAGTTCGCCAACACGCATCAGGGCCGCGCGGCGGACACTTCCTTGCCCTAAACCCTCTCAGAAATGAGGGGAGGCCTGTGCCCAGCTGTGGGACGTATATAGGCTGTAATTTTACTTTACTATCCTTACACTATAAAATAAACAACCTTTTCTACTATTTTTTTTATAAAACTGTAGTAACACAGAGTACAGTCGACGTGATGGTAAATGGCTACTGTAGTCCATGGGCACCTTCAGCAAATTTCAAACAAAAAAGAGTACAGATACGTTGTCACCTATGATAACCGTTTACACTCTCGCGCGGTCGGTGAGGCGAGTCGCTAGGCGAGCCACGAGGTGCGAGTGTAAACGCTATATAACTCATGGCTCGCTTCACCACACGCGGCGCTCGCATCGGAGGCGGTCTTTTAGGCACGAGTCCAAAGGGCCTCGTGAATGACGCGAGCATGGTGTTTATACTCGCGCTCTCGTTTAGTTGGTTTACGGCACTCTTTCGTGGGGGTTGTGTTGTTTTTCTGGGTTTAATTACGTTCGATTTCAATTAAAAATGGACTGGTTGCAAGAAGAAACGCATCGGTTTTTGGAACTCTATGAGGCTGAGCGATTAATTTGGGATCCAAAACATATCATGCATAATGGTCAAGCATCGATAAATACTTATTAAGGCATGAGTAGATGCCGCTATTATTCCAACGTCTTCTTGCAAATTAAACGCATCGCGAGAGTGTAAACAGGCACTCGTTACCTCGCATAAACACGTGAACTGCGAGGCGAGATACGAAGCGTGGTGCGAGGCCCGAGTTTGAACGAGCTATCACGGTCGGTTTTTTTTAAACCTTGCCTTCTTAGGCAGCTCGTTTGTTAGTCGATCCACAAGTTATTACCAGTTATAGCTTTAATTCCATGCCAACAAAGCGCTGAGGGAATATTTCCGATGTTGCTTTTAAAAAGATTGGGTTACAATTTCAAACTTAGCCGTTCCCACCGCTTCTAAAACTCCCTAGCATTTAGACTGCTTCATCGGAAAATAAATACTGACTGACTTGAATAAAGCGTTATATTTTATGTCCTGGGGCTTTTATTACAGAGATAGATGGGGTTGCAAGTTAAAAAATATTCTTATGTCATAAATTCAGGCGGACGAAGAATAGTAGAGTCGATCGCCAGACATCTGGAATTGCTATCATCAACACACCTAAATTTTTTTTAATTTTTTTATATAGAATATTAACAATGCTATAAACATTACTAATATTCCTCTTAACCACTCGTGGTAAGCTTAAATTGCTTGTGTTACGAGTGGTTCACGCCAGTAGTCGAATGGTGGATTCGAACCCACGACCTTTTTGAGTTTGCGGTCCGCGCCCTGCCATTAGACTACTGTCGCTAATTTAAAAGGCCTATGACCAGCGGTGGGCTATTACGTACCAATTAAGAAATACCGCTTGCTTATAGTTATAATAATATCCTCCAGACCGAGTTTATGTCACAGCTACCAGTATCAACAGAGAGCTATCTGCACAGGACTGGATTATAGTATACGAGTGTATGCGGAAGAACTAGTGCATTTTCTATTCCTTCACTCTCATAGTCCGGCGGGGCGGTT